GCTGCCTTCCGCCTGAGCGCGGCTGCGCCTCGCTCGAAGCCCGCGGGGTTGTCCCAACGGCTTGGTCTTGCGCGCCAACGGCTCGCGGGGTTGTCCCGACAGCCTGGCCCGCGGGGTTGTCCCAACGGCTGCGCGACGTGACCAGTAGAGAACGCGCCTGTGCTGGCCGTGGCGGCGACGGCGCCGAGGAACATCGACATGCGCGCTCATGCAACAGGAAGGGGAGGAGGTGGCGGGGCGCGGAACAAACAGGGGGGCGAGGATGGGGACAACGTAAGGAGTGGAAGGGGGGGCCCGCGCCAAGGCGAGAGGAAACATACGCAGAAGAGACAGCCAGGACGCCTCACCGACCACGAGGACGACGGTGATGGCTTTTTCCAGATTCGCCCAGAGGATTCTTATGTGGGGTTCTTCCGTCGGAGTAATTGTGGAGCTCCCTATGGGGCCACGAAACGCTGTACTGGGTGTGGCGGACGCATGTGGCCACCCCCACTGGGGCCTTCGGTGGAGCACCCTATGGGGCCACGAAACGCCGTACTGGGTGTGGCGGACGCATGTGGCCACCCACACTGGGGCCTTCGGTGGAGCTCCCTATGGGGTCACGAAGCGCCGTACTGGGTGTGGCGGACGCATGTGGTACACCCCATTGGAGCCTTTAGGTGGAGCTCCCTATGGGGTCACGAAGCGCCGTACTGGGGGTGGCGGACGCATGTGGCACACAACTGGGGGGGGGGGCACGGGAGGAGGAGGAGGAGGAGGAGGAGGAGTAGGAGACGCGGGGACAGTTTGTTTCACGACAAAAAAAACTAGGACCCAACACCACAGGATGGTTGGGAAAAAGGCCGGATCCATGCTGTGAGTCGTGTGTACATTATCCGCCTTTTGGTCCACGTGGGCGCTGATGGAACGTAGATCAGAGATTGGGATGCACAGCTCCACACCAAGTTCGAGTAGGGCCCCTTGTGCTTCTTGAGCAACTAGTGACATCACGAAGTTGTAGATAAGACCACCTAGCTGCTGTCCAGGACCTGAGCCAATCAGGGGGAACGCCATGCAAGTGCCTCCTGGCGCACCACGAACACATTGGCCCGGCACGAGCCCGCCACTTGAGTGTGGAGCCCCTTGGGGAATTGCGGGGCCACCATGATGGGCCCTTGGTTGCTGATGAGTTCGCTGTGGCCTTTGGTGGAAGCCCAGTCTGGCGGAGTATAAAAGCGACTGCCTCGTCGGACGCTCCCGTTTCGAAAACCAATTTCCTGACTGGTTTGTAACATGCTTGGACCGCGTCTGTGGGCAGGAATCAAGTGGAAAGACCTCAGGCGGCGCCGATCTGCTGCAACAATCGCACCTCCAGTGCTGCAAAGTCGGTCCCTCCGTGCTCCACTCCACCATATTGTCTGGGCCCCGCTTGGGCGGGTGAGGAAGGGGCCAAATCACATCGGATGAGGCTCCGAAGCCTTTTGCCCAGAGGGGGATGATCCCAGGATAGAACGGTAGTTCAACCTGGAGGTAGGGGAGTCCTCTTTGTGTAGTGGCGAGTAGTAGTCGTTTTGTTTTTCCATTGTTGAGGCTCTGCAATGCGAGCCTGCGCCTTCACGAATAACGAGTGCAGCAGCGGAGCGAGCTCGTTCGCAAGCTTGCGAAACATGTTACCTGTGATACCACGCTTGCCAGCGGCTGAGGGTTTCGCATGTCGTCACGAGTGTAAAACTTGAGCCATGGTGTAGAGGTCCTCTGGGGCAAACTCCATCTGGTCCGAAAACTCTTGGGACAACTCTTGAACCCTGGTGCTATACAAAGCGAGATCCGAGAAAGGCATGGCGTGGCTAGCTTCGATCATGGCCGAGTGGTGGGTCCACATGTTGGCTACCTGCTTTTGCACATGTAAGCCGTGCAACATCGGGAGCGGCCTGTGCCTCCTGACCTTCTTCTTAGAGAAAGCTCCGATGGACCGATATCGTCGAATAGCTTGCAAGTGATCGCGCCGCGACCAGTCGCTTGAAAGATCCGTGGCAACATCACGGGCGTGTTGTCTAGCATCTGCCCGAAGCTGGATATTCACCACCTTGGCTGAAAGCTGCAGACAGGTGCGATGCATGACTTGCATGACCTTGGCCCACACAGCGAACGAGTTGACAATGCCCACACAGTCCACCTGCGCGATCGAGTCCAGGAACCCTTGGAGCTTCAAACTTTGAAGCCTATCCCGATGGGCCCGCTGAATTATCTGCGCATGCGGAAGAGTCTCCATCGTAGATAAAACTTGCTTAATCCAGCCAAGTCCCTGAGCGTGCAGATCGACCGTATCCCCTATAGCTTTAGTGCCAGCCAGGAGCCCCAGAGTGCAGCGGACGTTGCGCAAAGCGCCACGTAAGTAGTTGATAAGAAAACCAAGTGCCCCCACTGGAGTAGTCCAGGCTCTGAAAAGTGTGGCGAGAGCTGCCCTTTTCCAGTGTCTGCACGTACCCCTGAAGCGCCTTAGGATGCTGGCCCGAACGTCCAAGTGTTCCGGGGCGTGTGTGGACACCCATGCTTGTGTTGGTTCCCACCCTCGGCTCGAGGCGTTTGGTGGGAACGCTGAGGCAATGGCCTGGTGCAAAAATGCAGCGATCTGCTGGCAGTGGTCGGCAGCGTGAACTTCAAATTCTGGCCAGGGCGTTCCCTGCAGTAAGAACTGGACATGTTCCCGCGCTTGCGGGTCTACAAAGAGTGCGTCGTCGCACCTGGTGCGAGAATAGGACCTAGACGAATCAGCATGAACAAGGAGCGATAGCCAAGAGGTGACAGATATTGCCTAGTGTTCGGTGATGGCTACTGCTAATTCAATATCATACGCGGCGCGAACTTCCAGGACCGCTACCTCCTTGGAACACGTTGTCATCTATACGACGCCCTCTTGTTCCTTATTGGTGTTGTGGGGGGTACCATGTGGAGCCACAGGAGCCCATAGCAAGTAAGAGAGTAGAGGTGGCCCATCGGGTTCTCTCCAGGAGCACGCTGTCGAACAATCACCCAGGGAGGCTCTCGGACTCGACCTGAATGTTACCCACGCTGTCCGAGGCCACGGAGCCCAGAGTGCCATTGGAGTTCCAGAACTGTACCTCGGGGAGGCAGTGGTCGAGGAGCTTGTTAAAGTACGCCGGGTAGAACACCAGTCTCTCAGCGTCTGAGCAGCCGTCACTCTGTGCGGGCCGAGCCAAACGATGACGTTGCAATGCATCGCGTCCGAGCGCATGGCCACGATCCAAAGAAAAGGGATTGGCGTGCAGCACTGGGCAGTGCTTGGCAAGCAACTTCTGACCGTCCGCGTAAGTAGCTTTGATGTTGACCCAGGGAGAGCACCCAAATCGTTTGTGCTGGTCAGCCCTTGGCATGTAAAATCTAAGAATCTCCCACGTTAGTAGATCCGTCTCTGGGGTACCTGGTCTCGCAAGTGCCTGCCATGGAAACCTTGGCCTTTTTGAGTACTGAGGCAGAGTAAGCCATTATCCCAGAAAGAAAAAGGCCAGAAGTGCGTTTTTGCCGATCAGCCCTAGGATCCAACGTCAGAGCATTAGAAGACATGAAACGTAACGCCCGAGACGATGAGAACAAATGCTGCTCGCGGTGCTCATCGTAACCGGGGGTGGCCTGGGGCTGCGAGTCCGTGAGCAGGAAAGCGGCGGGACGCAAAATGGGTATGTTGCTTCTTGCCAGAGGCGGGTATTGGGCCCTTTCCCTCACGCGGCTGAGCGTCTAGCCATGCCCAAGCAAAGTTGTTTGTCTCCGCGCGGACCGCCTCTTGCCAGTGTTCTTTCAGGGTGGTGGGCGGCAAGAATTGAAGTGAAACAATATGACATAGTGTGTCGGCAAATTAATTCCATGGCTGCGCTGCGTGACCTGGCACATGTGCGACCGAACAAGTGGACGTCCTGGCCTGACAAAGTAGAGCGAGCCCGTCAAGCACGGTTGCCTGGACCGCTGTGGGTATGGCGGTTTGGACCGCTATGGCTTTGTGTCAAACATATGGTTACAAGCAGAGGGCTCCATACACATGTGGTTCCTCAGCAGCGGTCCCTCACACGTAGAGTTCCACGCGCCCTCACACCCACAGAGTCCCACCCGTAGGGCGCCGCGCACAGCGCTACACTCATGAAAAGTTGGGGGCCCGCGTTTCGCCATCATTCCCAACCATCCTGTGGTGTTGGGTCCTCGTTTGCAGAGAGCGCCCCGCGTCCCTCCTCTCCTCTCCTCTCCTCCTCCTCCCCCTCCTCCCTCCTCCCCCTCCTACGTTCGCACGCGCCCGACGCACCCATTTCGGCACACCCCTCACACGCTCCGTGGCCCCATTGGGAGCTCCACCGAAGGCCCCAGTGGCTGCGTTCGCATGCGCCCGCCGCACCGATTGCGGTACATTCCTCACACGCTTCGTGGCCCCATAGGGAGCTCCGCCGAGGGCCCCAGAGGCTGCGTTCGCATGCGCCCGCCGCACCCTTTGTGGCACACCCCTCATACGTTTCGTGGCCCCGTAAGGGGCTCAACCGAAAGTCCCAGTGGTTGCATTCGCATGCGTCCGCGCCGCCCATGTAGGTACATCCCTCATACGCTTCGTGGCCTTAGAGGGAGCTCCGAAGGCCCCAGCGGCTACATTCGCATGCGCCCGCCGCACCGATTTCGGCATACACCTCACACATATCGTGGCCCCATAGGGAGTTCCACCGAAGGCCCCAGCGGCTACGTTCGCACGCGCCCGCCCCAACCATTTCGGCATACTCCCTCACACGCTTCGTGGCCCCATTCGGAGCTCCGCTGAAGGCTCCATTGGGTGCGTTCACCTGCGCTCACCGCGCTCTTTTCGGTACATTCCTCACACGCTTCGTGGCGCCATAGGGAGCTCCAACGAAGACAATGCTCACAACTGGGTTGGTGAACTGCATATGGTTGGGCCCTTCGCAAGGCTATGTTATTTTCTGCGGACGCCATGCTCGACTTTGAGAAGTGTCCAGGGGCGGGATTGCGAGGGTGACCTGGACGACCTGCAAGAGCTGGAAGACGACGGTCTTCTCGAGGAGGTCCTCAAGCGCAGGGCGTGCCTCAGGCGGGAGCGGGCTTGCCCCTCGCGGCGGCACGGCAGATCCTTTCCGATTGCCCCTTCCTCGTCTTCGTACCCCTTCTGTCCTCCTGCGGTCAACCCGCATAGTAAGGATGGGCACCCTTCCCAAGGGTACCCTTGCATCCTCGCCCCTTCGGCTCATCCTCAGCGACTTTCACTGGCCAATCTCGTTCGAGACACGTCCACGTGGCCCTCCAAGGCCCATGCATCCTTGCCGCGTACCCTTCTCCACCCTTCTCATACGACGGGTTGACTGTACTCCCTTTCCCCCCCCCCCCGGGGCACTCCTCCCATTCCCTCTCCCCCCTTGCCCCCCCTTCCGCAGGGTCCGATCCGTGGGCTCGAACCGCCGCTCTCCAGCACTCACAGCTGCGGCCCACGGAGCCGCCGTCCCTGCGGCCTTCTGGCTCCTCCTCCTCCTCCTCCTCCTCCTCCTTCTCGATCCTCGGTTCCTCGCCGATTTTCGAGCATCCTCAATCCTCGCAGCTGGCGCGACGACATCGTCCACGACGACGACGACGACGACGACGACGTCGGCGAAGACGACGTCCGGTCGGCCCTTCTGGCCAGGAGAGACGAAGGTGAGGCTCCCGTCGGCTGTCCTGTCGAATGTCGGAGTTGGCATGCGGGGTCCAAGAGTTTTGTCGGCCGGTCTGTCTGTCTGTCCCGTGCGGCTTCCGAGGGAGCACGGAGACGGCCACGGTTCACAGTCTGTGCCATCTTTCTCCAGGGTGGCAGCGCCAGGGTGCGAAGGCAACCGCGCTTCACGCAGCGCGGAACGCAAACTCTGGAGACCTCAGCGAGTGGAGAGGGTGCAGATGCTATCTTTGACGCGGCATGCAGCTCGAGTTCGCGAAGTGATCTCCACGTAGTATTGTCACTCGTTCTCCGATTGGTACTCGTGCCCATGCTACTTCCCATTCTCACACATCCACCCGTATACATGTTTTGCAAATGTGTATATATTTATAGATCTAGGTTTTATGTGTATATATATGTGTGTGAGAGCGGCAGGTCTTATATGTAGTCGCAGTAGTTTCATGAAATTCACGCTCGCTTCATACACTGCAGAAGTGTGCAGTTGATGCTACACTAGAACACATTGCAACGTTTGCTCTACCCCTGTACAACCCTGTCACAACCCTACTCGACTCGCACCCCAGTCCTCTTCTACTCTTGCTAGTCCACCGCGCCTGCTGTATACTGCTGTGTTACAGGTGGGCATGATATCATTCAAAATGATGCGTTCCGCCTTCCTCTGTTCGAATATACTACGAGCTATCATATAATTGTGCTGTCGGACCTGCTTTCTTGTAATCGTTCGTGCCCCACTCTGATTTGTTTTTACGTATGGTATAATCCGACCTCTGCTCCGGGACATCGATTCCGATGTTACGCACACGATATGCAGACCTATACGACCACCTTTCGGGCGATAAGGAGATTGTGTGGGGTGGGGGGAACAAACGTCTGACTCAATCGATCTCACTATCGATCTCACTATCGATCGCACTATCGATCTCACTGTCGATCTCACTGATCTCACTGTCGATCTCACGATCGATCTCTCTATCGATCTCACTATAGATATCACGATAGATCTCACGATCAATCTCACTCAACGGGACACCACGGGGCACTTGTCGATCTCACTATCGATCTTATTATCGATCTTACGATCGATACCACTATCAATTTCACTCCCAACGGGACACCACGGGACACCTGTCGATCTCACTATCGATTTCACGATCGATATAACTATCGATGTCACTCTCAACGGGACACCACTGGACACCACGGGACACTTGTCGATATCACTATCGATCTCACTCAACGGGACACCACGGGACACCACGGGACACGTGTCGATCTCATTATCGATCGCATGATCGATCTCATTCAACGGGACACCACGGGGCACCACGGCACACCGCCGGACGGACGGACAGACGGGCGGGCGGGGGATAATCATTTGTCTGGATTTCGCCTTAGCAACGGCGGGACACCACGGGACACCGCGAGCCACCGCCGGACGGGCGGGCGGGGGATAATCATTTGTCTTGACTTCGCCCTAGCAAAGGCGGGACTACATCTTAACAGAATGCAGGGATTACCAATATCCAGGCAACAAGCTAAATCTCCATGTATGTCAATGTCGTTATCTCGACTCGCCTCTCAAGACACTGCCGCGCGGCCGAAATCAAGCTCGGGCATTTAGTTGCGCGGCGCTGCAGCCCAGGGAAGCAGCGCCTTTCACGCAGCAATTTCCAGCGAGCTGCAGCACAAGGCAGCAGCTCATACACAGCGCTGGCCGCTGCATCCCCAGCACCTTCTGCTGAGAGCAAGCGGGAGAGGAGCTCCGCGGCAGGCAGCATCGCTCTCCGGCGCACTCCGACGTCTTGACAAAAGAAGAAAGTTTGTCATCGTCGATTGCAAATCTTGAGATACAAGGCTGCTGCATGCACAAGGTCTACCGGCAACCCCAGAGTCATTGAATCTGGCCGGTTTCCATTCCGTCCGCTCATGGGGAAAAGCGCGGCCCCCCTCCATCGCCATTCGTAGCGCAGCCGCGGCCCGGCGGCTTCAGGACTTTACGCTTGAAGGGATGCGGCGCCGTAGGTTGAATGCATTTTCGGAAAAAAGCCCTTCGCTTACACGTCATGTAGGGACTGAGTCCGAGCAGGAACTTGATGCTCGCCCAGCGGTCATCCGCAGGATGACCATCGTATCTGATCTCTTTCACATTGTGAAAGTCGAGCTGGACTCTCTGCTCGAGCGCAACAGAAAAGGCTCCTGGGGCTCTAACTCCTTTGCTCACGGATGCTCTCTGGCGGCACGCCAGAGCGGCGAGTTTTGAAAGGTTTGCTTTGCGAGCGTAGTCGAGACTAAGTCGACCGAATACGAGTTTTGGATGGCGGCGGGGTGGAGGTTTGTGGGCGAACCCTCATGACGCTTCAGAGTCCAAGTTTAGAGTCCAATGTTCGTGTCCAATCGACGCCAATGGCCGCACTACAAAGGTAGGCCCAGAAAAATCGGTGGAAATTTACCCTTGGCGGAGCGAGCGTCACAACATTCGGCCTGCAAATGCGGTGGAACAGCGGGTGAAGGGCGCAGGGGGATGTTGATGGTGGGTGGGCGGGGCGTACATGTTAGAAGTTGTAGTGGCAAATTTGTGCTCCCGCCTCTGACCGTTGAGTACCAGCAACCCGCTCCTTCTTATTCGGTCCGGCCTCTTTTCCCGCGGTCCGTTGCTCGATCGCGGCGAGGCCCTCGCCCCTGCAAAGTTCGTGCGTCGGCCTCTCTTCGGATGGATGAGCGCGTCTCAGGCTACGTCTATTCCTCAGCTTCTCCCGCCACATCCTCTCCTCTATGCCACAAGACTGACAAGCATCCTCCTCATTCTCCTCCCCCATCCGCCTTCCTTCCGTTCCTCCTCGCCTTCCTGTTCCTCCCCATCATCCTCCACGCCTTCCATTTCTCAACCTCCTGCTTCCCGTCCCCTGCCCCCCCTCCCCCCCCCCCAGTTCCCCCCTCCTGCTGAACGAGTGATGGGAATCTTCCCATGGCCGAAGGGGAGCGAGCGGCTTCCCCCCGGCTCGCCACGCCCGGCGTGCAGGTGCGGCGCCCGATGGGTGCAGCACGGCGTGGGCTTCGATGCTGCCCGCGGGGCGCCGTTCGACTTCACGTGCCGGGGCTGCGACGGGCGGCCCCGCCGCACCGCGCGCCGCCTTTGTGCGTGCTCCTTTCCCTTTACATAAGCACAGTGGAGGCCCTCCGGTCCTCCTCCTCCTCCTCCTCCCTCCTCCTCCTCCTCCTCCTCCTCCCCTCCTCCTCCTCCTCCTCCTCCTCCTCCTCCTCCTCCTCCTCCTCCCTCCTCCTCCTCCCCCCTCCTCCTCCTCCTCCTCCTTTCCGTAGCCATTTTGGCTCAAACCGTTCTGGCCCAGGTGTTTTGGGCTTGGTGCAGCTGTCTTCAGAACGGCGCCGCTGTACCGGGCTAACTTGGCTCGTTCCAACCAGTCTGCCCCAGAAGGAGCAAAGTGAACCACGAAGCAGATCCAGGCGCCGCGATGGTGGCGCCGCCCCAGCCAGCGGTGCTCCGCGGCCCGAGGCGGCCGTTTTAGGCATGCGGCAGGTGCTCAGCAGCGGCGAACTGGGCATCGAGAGTTGTATGCGGATGTGGGAATGAAGCGCCACTTCGGATCAGGAAGGCTGCGTGGGATGCGCACAACAAGCTCATCCATGGCACAGGCGGCCAACCCCCTCCGACGTCGGCGAAATAGAGCAAGCAGAACCAGAATGACACGACCCAGAAGCTGGCGGAGCTTGAGAAAATGCTTCGGGAACTATGCCTTGGCGGCAGAGGTGGCGGCGGTGCGCCCCCGAAGTCAGCGGCAGAGGCACCACGTCCATGGAGCAAGGCGGTGCCGCCCACAAAGGATACCCTGGAGCCGATCAAGCAAGAGGACGAGGACAAAGTCAAGCGTGAGAAGCTGGCCGCACAGCTCTTGCAGTACGAAAGGGCTCTCAAGACTCTCCCTGGTCAGGATGACGATCCCATCCGCGCGGCCACGATCGAGAAGGTCAAGGGCATCAAGGAGCAGCAGCGGGCGCTGCGCACACCTGAGATCGCGCACAGAAGGACGGCTCAGGACTTGCACAAGGCACGCGTTGCTCGAGACAAGATGGAGGCAGAGATTGCTGAGAAGACGGAGCAGCTGGCGAAACTGCAGGAGTCTCTGGCGACGCGCAAGGCGCAGCTGGAGGCAAAGAAGATCGAGATCGACACTCTCGATGCAGAGTACAAGCGGACGGCAGCCCTCATCGCAGACGGCAATGCGGCAGCTGCGGACGGTGGTGGCGCCAATGACAAGGAAATCAAGCTGGAGGTGCAGCCTGAGGAGACCGAGGATCCCGAGTTACAGGCCTTCTTACAGTCAGAACAGTGGAAGAAGTTGCAGACGATCATCACGGGCAAGGTCAAGGCTGCAGGTGCTGCTTTTAGCGGCAGTGATGATATTCCAATGCCTCAGTCCCCTGAGACAGGCAAAGGAGAGGGAGAGCACAACGAGCCCGTCAAGCGTGCCTTTGACGAGCTCTCAGAGGAGGAGACCAAGTTTCTCTTCGAATCCAAGGATGACTACGCGACGTTCCAGGGCAAGCTCAGGGAGATGGCCAAGAAGCAGCGTTATTCCTAATGTTGATGAGATGCACTCCGAGTTTGCGAACATACGGGCGTCTGGACTCCTACTTTCCTTGGGTAAGTCGAAAGTGATTCAGCAGCCTGGGTGTCAAGGAGTATGCACTTTCGAGTCTTTCAATGCCAATGGTGGCCGTCAAACTTTGAAAGACAAAATCACTCGATCCACGGCGCACGTGATGTTGGTGCAAGAGATTGCATACCACAACGGTTCTATTAACATTATACACATGGACCGTTGATAGGGGATGGAAGATGATGGCACCCCCAGGCATCCCCACGAGAGAAATCACATCGGCAGGAGTGGCGGTCCTGGCCCGCAGCGATTTCGGGCTCAGAGCGCACCCCGAATTTCCTGACGAGGTGGTACACCATCGGCTCCAACATGCAGTTATAGATGTCCCAGGATGGCCAGCGATATCGGTCATGAATGCGTGCCTCAAGGACTCCATCGGCGCCACGGGGGTCAATGCAGCGCTGCTGGCGCAGATGGGTTCTACTTTCAGTAGGATTACTGGGCCATGTCTTGCAGGAGCCGATTGGAATATGCAAGCTGATGAGTTGGGGATTTCAGAGCCCCCCCTCATGGCAAGTGTCACGATGGCGGTGCCGAAGCAGATCACATGCCGAGGGGGAATGGGATCGGCAGTCATTGGCTACTTCGCGGTGAACGATGTGCTCCTGAGATGGCATCGTGGAGTTGAAGCGGATATGACGTAGAGCAAGAGACCTCACAGGCCAGTGATGATGAATGTTGTTGATAACGGAATGAAGGTACAGCACTTTGTGTACACGGTGACGCCGACGCTGCCAGTGGATCAGATTATTGTACCGCGCAAGCAACCGACGGACTGGTCTACAATCAAGGCGTTGGCTCAAGCATGCACGGAGATTGCGAACGATGACAACTGCGACGTGGAGGTGGTATGGTTATTCATGTCCAGAGTGTGGGCCAAATTCGCTGTGCAGGCTGCGAGAAACATCGCCGATGCGACGGGTACAGACCTTCGTGAGCCAGATGCGTTTGGTTGTAATATTCGGCCTCGATGGGTGGACGTAACGTATCAACAGCAACCAGAGACCAATGTTAAAGCTGAGGCCGAAGGTTAGCAGTGGCTTTCGCATTCAATTGGCACCATCCTGCAGTTGTATCAGGGCACGAAGCAGATGGAAGAGTGCTCGGAGGAGATAAGCAGTTTCTTATCAATGGAGTACTGCGGCCAAGGATTAAGTGGGCGCCTTGACAGCACGGTGGCTCAAGCCAGAAGCGAGGTCGGAGCCATTCCCATGGATTGCGGTCGCCTGGGACAGTTTCTTAACGACATATGTGACGATGTGGAGCATGCCCAGGAATCACTTGGACGAGAAGCTGACCGTCAATGGGCTGAATGGTGTATCGCAGCATCGGCCAAGGGGGCGAGGGCTCTCCCCAAGGTGACCAAGGTAAAGGCGACACCTACTCCAGTGGTGGTCAAGCATGGACATAGTGTTCCTGGCGACCCGGTCACAGTCGCGAAGAAAGAAGTTGAAGACTATAGGAAGCTTTGGGCTGCATCGGGCAAAGCACCCAAAGCATGGGTCCCTGACAGAAGTTCGCGCCCACGACTATCGGATGCAGAGATGCGGAGAGTGGCCAACACCTTCCCGAAGGGCACGGCATCGTCGTTTGATCACTTTCACCCACGCCATGCGCTTCTGCTCGAGGATGAGACATTGGATGTTTTATCTATGAGATGGCAGTCAGCGCAGGCGATAGGGATGTTGCCCAAGCAGCTCTGCTGGATACAGATGCCTATGCTGCCCAAAGCATCGGGAGGCAACAGATTGATCATCCTGTACGCGGGCATGTATCGGATATGGCAACGAGCACGTCGATGGATGATAAGTGGCATTGCTGAGTCGCTCGGGCGCAAGTTTTGGGGAGCTGGAAAAGGAAGGTCAGCTATCGATTGTTCGCGGCTACAGGCGGCAAGAAGTGAAGCTGTTCGTTCTGATAGCATGCGCTCGTGGATGTGGGTGACAGGCTGGTCAAAGTACTACGAGTCAATTCCTCTGCGTGAGCTGAAGTACATGTTCGCGAGTTGGCATCCCGACGTGCCGGCTAAAGTTAGTCATCAACACATGGTGCGGACCCCGCATCATCAGGAGTGGACGACATCATGCAGTTGAAGCGTTGTATGCAACGAATGGTCTTCCAGCTGAAGACGGAAATGCTGACATTGCTATCAAGATACACGCGGCCTTTGAACTGGACTCTTTCGTATCACGTTGCCCGACGGTTGACTTCCTGAACTACATTGATGACAGTGCAATTGGAAGCAGCTCTAGAGATATCACCATCGCGAAGGGCACGGCTGTCGAGTCCATGCGGGAGTTCAGGCAGACGTCGGATGAGTTGAACGCGGTGCTCAACTTCGACAAGGCGGCGCTGATTGCATCGTCTGTGGAGCTGGGCCATGCAATATGCGATGAACGTGGAGTACCTCGCAGCACATACAAGACTAGCGTCACATATCTGGGAGTGGACGAGAGTTCGGGAGCCCAGAGATCTGCTAAGGGAGCCCGCCCTAAGCAGCAGCGTAGGTTTATAAGTGCTAAGCGTAGAATAGGTAAAGTTAGAGGCTTCAGGAAGGGCTTTAGAGGCTGTAGCAAAGAGGCCCCCTTCGTTAAGATATGTCGGTCGGGAGTCTCACCTGCTAGCAGCTTCGGCGTTGAGATAAATGGTCTAAGCCAGAGGGAATGTATTACCCATCAACGGCTCCACAGCAGCGCTACTTCCCCATCGCACGGAGGAATATCGCTGTCTGCGAAAATTGTTTTAACAAGTGGCCCCAGTTTTCGTTTAGCAGTGGCGCCAGCATTGCAGTGGTGCAGAATGATTTGGTTTGCCACAACCCGACCCGATAGAGCGCTAGCCAGCCGCGCTGAGCTCCTCAGGCTTTGGAAGTCGGCCAGACCTCTCGAGCAGGGACTTTGGAGCTTCTCCCGAGGCCCGTTGAGCCGCGCGGTGCTGTTGCTTCCTAGGGCAGGTTGGGAGGCTGTAGGTCCTCTGGAATGGAAAGGTCACAGCGGGATTTCCCAACAGATAGATGAAACCCCGCCAGCATTGCTTGCAGATCAGCTAGAGATTGGAATTCAGAGAGTCCACGAGCTAGCACTAGCAGCCAAGCTGGGCCACCCTCCTGGGCACAGGGCAACTCTGGACCTCATACGGTCCAGACTGGGGCCCAAGGCCCGAGGGTTGAGCACGATGGCCAAGTTTTTGATCAGGAGCTGTGGGTGCAATGGAGTGTGGACTGCTGATAGAGGTCGCTTGGCGGGGTACGAGACGGACGGGCGGCGCGTGCGCGGGCAAGCAGACACATTCCACCACAGGCTCTACTCCTGTTCCAGGCCTGATGTAGAGCAGGCCCGAGCAGAGTCTGAAGTTCCTAGTCAGTTTTTGGAGGCGGCTCGCGCTGAGCCAGATTTGGAAATCTTCACCCGTGGGATTTACGTGTACCCAG